AAGGAAGTGGTGGATGCACCATCCCTGGGAATTCAAGAAACGTGCAGATGAGGCACTCGGGGGCATGGTTTGGCAGACAGGGGGCTGAAGGACTTATGGTTGGACTTGATGATCGGGAAGGTCTTTTTGAACCCTGATGATTATTTTATTCTACTTTTTCTTCTGGGGAGACTTTTTCCGTGGACTTGCGTATGGACATTCTAGGTTCTCAGTTACATGACACATTACAGATTATCTGTATGTTTTCCAAAAAAGTATACTATTTTCTTCAGCTTTACAATTTTGCACTCTGTTGCATGCCCTTTTGTCTTCCATTTAGTTTCCATATCCTTCTACATTAGCCTGCCAGGCCTTTTTTATTTTCTTGATGGCCCTCTTCTAGTCTTCTGATTCTTTTATGTTTCCTCTGATTCTTCAGAATTTCCTGTAATTCCTTTCGCACTTTTTTTTTTCTCCTTTTGTGCCCTTAGCCTCATTTCCTGTTTCTTTCTGTTCCCATATGTGCTCCATAGCTTTCTCAGAGTGTGTGGGGAGGAAAAGAGCACTGTTGTCCCTAGTGTCTGTGTGTTTTTGTGTCATTCAGACAATTCGTAGTGATAGTTTCATGGTCTCAAAGGCAGTTCACTCTTACGAGAAAGGAGGACTGAAAGCTGTAAGGCTTCTGGCCAACTAAACAAAGGCTTTCTTTAGTTGAAAGTAAAGGGAGAAATTGCAATTTTAAAGTTAGGAGCCATGGTATGTAAAATTGAAAACTGAACCACAAAGTGGCTCAAACCACTAACCAAACCATAAGAACTGGTTGGCCAACAGCAGATGTCTACCAAGGGTTTTAGAGTCGGGCAAGCATGCAGTAACAAATAACAGAAAAAATACTTTCCCAGCTTCCGGTGAGCTGTGCCTGTAGGAATTCCTGAGTCAAAACGGTGACTCATATTTAGGATCCCCAAGCATGCTTTTCTGCCACTGATGGATGGGTTTGTTTTTAGAAGGCAAGGGTTCCCGCATGTCAACCAAGTGTTGGCTAAAACAGCATCTACCTCACCTTGTTTTGACACGGCCTCCTGCTTGCTTTATGTGCTTCCTTTTGGAAGAGACAGAGAACAACCATCCTTGTTCATCTTCTCCATGGCATTTGTGATTCTGGTTGCCTTTCCCAGTATCTTTTCTGGGCTAACCACATCCTTTTTAGGATTGGTGGGCCAGAACTGCACTGAATATCCAAGGCGTATGTTCGTTATGAATTTATACATTGGCACACAATATTCTCTGGTTCTCAAATCCTTTCCTAATGACTCCTAGCATTTGAGTGCATTTCCGATTGCTTTGTCCAACCAGATTACCTCATTCTTTTTTCCTGCTTATTAATGTAATTTTATACTTTTGATGACTGTCTAGTTCTAGCAAAGTGGCACACATTCATATCTGTGCCTTTGACAATTTCAACTACTTCTTAATTAATTTCTCACAGGTGCTTATCAGTTTGTATGCCTTTCCTTTGTAAGTAATCCTTGTATCACATTAGCATTATTATTTGGAGGAGAAAACCTTGTCATCCGATGCTTTATCAGTTTCTTTAGTCATTGCTAAACGGCTTTGCTTTTTTTTGGGACAGATGCCTGGTATTCTGTTCACCATTCTTAACCTTGCCCCTTGGATATAACTGATTACTTCCCTCCATGGTATAGGCCCTTCTGTCACAGTTTTTGGAGCCTTACAATAGAAAGAGTATCTCAAAATGATGTCGCTGCATGTTCCTGGCAAAACTATCAGAAATCAGGGCAAGGAGCAGCTGAACCCAGAGGCCTCCTAGGCCCGGATCAAGCACTAGTGCCCAGCTTAGGAGCTGCTACACAGCAAAGCGTGGAGGGCCTGGTCAGGGCCTTAAAAAGAAAAGGGCCTTCTCTAATATGTGAAAGCTATTGTCCTTTTCCTGAGTTTAGGCAAGGTCTAAAGTCAAGTACGCCAGCATCTAAAATAAAGTACACCAGTTCATAAAATGGAGGATTATTTTTGATGATAGTTCTTGTATCCTTCCTCTGACCTTTCCAGGTTTTAGCGAGCACCGAGAAAAGCTTCCTGTAAATGTTGCTTTAATATACATTTCTCAATGTTTAAAGCAGAAGTTCTGGTTTCCCATATGTCTCTATATTGAGCTAAAAAAATGCAAGCCTGGAGGAGCTTTTGGTAATGGCCGAAGCAAGGGAAGAACCTGAGGGAATCTTGAACCCCGATTTCTTTGGTGGTTCATTAGCCTGAGTAGGATCCTTGCTTTCTTCTAAACTTTAATTTTAATGACTCATCAAAAGAATAGCAGATTACTTATACATAGACTGCTTGTATACCATGCCAAACTCTTAAGCAAAGGACAGTTTCATACTTGATTAGAATTTTTCAAATGTTTCTTAGTGACTGATAATGCCTTTTACATGCAGTTAGTCTACGCACTGGATTTGCAAAATGAAAGCTTATCTTCTTGAGAGAGAAGCGATTGCCTAAACTGTTGGGGCGGGCAATACTTCATTACGTGAGGTAAGAGTTGGATATGTGCAAAACAAGAAAAGCAGCAAGGCTTGTAGTCACAGCTCTGTGCAGGGAGGGGAATGGAAAGCCACCCGGGAGGGCTGGGCTGTGCAAGGCTGACTTGGACAGGGCAAGTGATACAGGGCTGTGGCCTTGGTACTCCCTAGTCTTGCAGACATTGGCAGGTGATTGGAAGGTGGCGCTGACAACATCTCTGTTTCTTGCCTCTTGCTGCTTTTTCACTCGAAACATATTTCTGCCCTTGACTTACTTGGTGTTGATGTTGTCCTGCTTGCAGCTCTCCATGCACAGTCCGGAGAGGTAGGAGCAGCAGCAGCAGGGATGTGAATGGCAGTGGTGCCAACACCTCAGACATATTTGAGGCTGAAAACGATGCAAGGGCTTGTAACTTATGTCCCCGCTGCTGAAATCTTGCACAGAAAGGCCCGGGGGCTTGCACTGTGTTCTTTCCCATAACTCTCAGCCAGGAGGTGCGTCGGGGTGGGAAAAAGAGTTGTATTTTCTTTGTGCTAAGGATAGGAACATGCAGGGTACCCAGCTATCACCTGAAGGAGTAATAATACCTTTAAGGAAGGGAAATGGCTTTAAGAAAATGGCATTGTTGTCTTCATCTTTGATATTTTGTTTATTGCTCCGGCAGTTTGAGAAGTGAAGTCGAGAGTGTCTGCTGACTCTTTTTTCCTGGGCAGTCCCCGCTAATGAACGTGAATCACCGGTGAGCGCGCTGTGGTCTGGCGGTGCGAGCTCTCCTTGGCCGCGGTGAACGCCTGCTGCCCGCTGCGCTGCACAGCGCTGAGCAGTGAGGACTCGCTCACGCTCCTCGCAAGCGTAATCCAGGCATCGCAATGCGCATCTGGCAGTGGGAAATCACTCCACTCACTAGCCTTTGCCCCTGGTGAGCTCCTATTTCTGTTGAAGGGTTTCCAAGCTTGATACTTTTCTGTATTTCCTGCTTTCCGTGAAGTTTGTCATGGGTAAAAGCAGTGTAACTGCTTGATGGTTTGGAGAGCTAAGGTGGTGGGGGTTTTTTTGCCAGCGCATATGGTTTTTCTGGAAGGCCAAGGCATTGGTTGCGAGTCGCTTGTGATTTTACTCTTTGTTGCCCCTCAGATCTAGACCAGCAGTAACACAGTTACACTTAAAGCTGCTTTTGCTTAATCTGAATTACTGAAAACACCTCTCCTATTTTCTTTTGGAGACAGTATCTGAACCATCTCTCATTTCTGGCTTGAGATCTTCATGCTTTCCTCTGTTTATATTATTGACTTGGATGACTTCTGGGCCAGCTGTATTATATTCTTATGTTGGAGGATTAATCACTGGCTGCAGCCTCTCTTTTTAATTTATTCTTTATTTATTATTTGTTACTGTGAGAACATCTGTGGGGAATGATCTTTCACCCATTTTCTTGCAAAGCAGGAAGACCTGCAAGACTGTCAGCTGCTGAAATGAGCTGCCTTCTTACTGACTGATTGCAGGAGTGCTTACCTGTGGTCAGTGAGTTAAGCCCTCGAATGGTAGCTGCTTAAATACCTCATCTTTGCCCCTGCTTGCCGTTTTGGCAACTGGTGTATTGAATGTGTCCTCTGTATTTCGTAGCTTCTGCAATTTTTGAAAAATGAGTTTCTTGCTTTGTCAGAGGTGGAAACTCCTATCCTTTCTGAGGTTTTAACAGCCTGTCTGTGCATAACTTTCCCCCAAAACCTTTAACTCTGAAAGAGAAACAGGATAGCCCAGAGCTGTTGTAGCCACCTCATTCGGCATATCCTTTCTTACACTTGCAACCACAGAATTGGTATCAGCGTTGTGGTTTACCCTCACTGGTTTACTTTACTTTTGTTATAGCTCTCCTAGCTGAAAAAGCAAAAAAGAAAACAACCCCTGAAACTATGCCTGAACAGCTAGGCCTTACAGCTTTCAAAAAAGGAAGCCATGAAAACGTGATAGTGCAGTGTAATGAAACTTCATGTGAGATCTTCATGAGAAGGGTGGTGGTATTTACTTTCAAAAATAAAAATAGAGTTGATCTTTCTGTGTTCACGTTGCCTGATGCATGGGTTTCGTTTGCTCATGTGTGCAGTAGCACACTGAGGCACCAAGCTGCCCCTACCCTGGTGCTGTGGCCAGTGTGGCTTGCTGCAGCTCCAAGGTCAAGGGATGCCAGCGTCGAGCCTGTATTACCTCTCTGGGGTTCTTCTCAGCAAACTAGTTTTTGTACAGCCCTTTGATAATCTCTAGGGGAATCAAAAAGATACATCTAAAAAAGGTAAAAATATCAGATGCTGGGGTCTGGGCTGCTGTCTGCAGATCTTGCTGCCTTCAGGCTCTGTAAAACTTAAATTATTGTAATTTATTTATTTTACTTTTTTCCCTCCCTCTTTGTTTGGGATGCGTGCCCCTGGTTCCGCTGCCCTGCTGGGCCAGCAGGGAGCAGAAGATGGAGCCGTGAGTGTGGCGCAATGCGATGCTGGCGCTGCCCTCCCCGCGTCGGGCTGCGGGCTCTCGTGCTGCTCCTGGTCCTGTGTGGACCTGGACATAAACAGCGCGTTTCTCAATGTCGCTGCTGGGAACGGCGTCCCGAGGACTGCGTCCCAGGAATGGCATCCTCTGACCAGTGCTGGCCTTTAGCTGCTTGCCTGCTGTTCCTGCTGGTACACGTGTGTGCATTTATGTCGCATCAATCTTATTAATTCTGTTAAAATTCTCAACATTAGAAATATCAAGTAAAGCTTGAAGGGGAAAAAAGAAATAGTTTTTTATTATTATTATTTTAATTACAAGCTTATTCTCTGGTTTATTTATTTATTAGGAATGTAAGCACTGGATACAGTCTTTTCTGGAAATGTTCCTAGATTGAGAGCCTTCCCATGTTCCTTAATAAAAGCATTCCTTTGCTCTTCCTACAAGCTGTGGTGTTTTCAAAGCATCTTATCTATAACCTATACATCAGGAAAAGCAACATGCAATCAGCTTGTCATAGAGACCATCATGTGGCATATTAATAACACAAATGACAGATGTGTCGTTTTGTTTTGTTTCAATGAATAATTTCCCTCCACACCTGGGTCAGTTGAAGGTCCCGCTGTCAGAATTGGTTGAGTCAAATAAACTTGCTGAACTTGTTGCCAGGGAATGTGAGTTTTTTTCTCACATTGTTCCTTTCTCTCTCTCTCTCTCTCTCTCTCTCTGTTTACAGGTGATCCTAACATTTGTTTGTGTATTGACTGAGGAATCTATAGAAATTGCTCCAGTGCCGTATACGCTGCAAGCCCATCGGGTAGCTTTGGAGGGAAAAGATCCCGTTAACCCCTTGGGGAGAGAAAAGAGGCAGGTGCAGTGTCTACTAGGACAATACCTACATCCAAAAGAGACCCACTGCTGCATGAGGTGCCATGCAGGTACATTGGAGTAAAATAATTAGAACAATAGCGATCTATGTCTGAGAGGTCCTGTCCTGCACTTTCAAGCTAACTGTCTCGGGCCTACTCGGTGCTGCCTTTCTTTGGCAATAGTTGCTACCCAAATAATGTATGTCATTTATTTCACTCTTCTTCCCTTGGTGTCCTTGATGCTGGTGAGATGAAGTATACCCTGTCCTTTTGCCATCAGCTCTAAGGTTTCTCTGAGGAATTGGTGACGCCTGTTGATTCTAAGACAAAAGTGCCTGTCTCCCTGTAAGATCACCGTTAGATGATTCTTTTGCAGGTACCTTCAAGTTAAAAGACTGTGAAGGGCCTGAGCAGGCACCTGTCTGTCATCCATGTGCTAATGGCACCTTCACAGCAGTGGATAACACCATGTCTAAATGTTTCCAGTGTACTCAGTGCCGTTCAGGTGAGTCATCTATGGGACCTCAGGGAAGTTGGTAGTTGTAGAGGGAGAGGGGCTGGAGACGGTGGCAAGATGAGCGATGAAGAAACTTGAAGAAGCAAGCAACTCAGTGGGCCCAAGAACAATGTAGAGAAAGGGATTTGGGGCAGCAAGAATGAGGGTTAGGAAGTAAACCAGCTGGAGGCCTAATTCACAGGCTTTTTGGTCTTTCCTCTGGGAAGATTAAGGAATAACAACATTGGCCATCATAATAGGTGTCTCAGCTGAAGGTAAGGGAAGAAGGTGATGATTTTTTTTTCTTTCTTTCTTTTTTTTTTTCAGATTTCCATCAGATAGTAGAGTCCCCATGCACCCCAAAGCAAGATACTGTCTGTGGCTGTCGGAAGAATCAGTATCAGCTTGATGTGCTTGATCGCTTCCTCTGTAAGAACTGCAGCACGTGTGCCAATGGGATTATTGCCAACTGTAAGTATGGCACAGACACGGGACCAGTACAGATATTAAGCACAGGCTTCGGTGAGCACAGGCTTCTAGCAGCCCTCACTTCACTGAAGCGCCTTGCACTGAAGTGATTCTAGTTTTGTACTTTTTTTTTTAACTTTTTATCCTTTTTTTTTTTTTCCAAAAAGATTTTGCCTTTTTTTTTGCCTGTCTTGGCAGCAATTTGTATTTTCTGTCACAGGTTTTACCTTTCTATCCTTGAATATTTTCTCCTCTTGGCTGTCATGAGTTTTTCCTTAATTTCAATACCTCTGCTTGCCTTGCATGCACTGAAGCCAGGTCTTGTGTTCAAGAGCAGATTACCTACTTGCTTTCCTTTGTGTGGATATTTTTCCCAGTGGCCTGAGGGAATTTCATTGCATTTCCCTCACCAGCTTTAATAGGGACCTTAAGAAAGTATGAGCAAATTCTTCTTTCATACAATCACTGAGAGTTTTAGATTGGGAGAGACCTCTGGAGGACAACTAGTCCAATTTTCTGGCTTCGAAGCTAGATATGTTGCCCAGTGCCTTGTTGAGTTTTGAACATCCTCAAAGAAGGTGATTCACTATTTTGCCTGAGCTTTTGTTCCAGTGCTGAACCATCTCAGGGAAGGGAGAGGGGAAAAAAAAGAAGAAAGAAAAAAAATACGTTCAATTAATTGATATTTCTTTTGTTGCAACTTGTGGCCATTGTCATAAATTGTCCTTTGTCTGTGCCACTGTAGGAAGAGGTTGGCTTAATGTTCTTTGCAGGTCCCTTTTCCCTCCATGCCCTGTGGGCAGGAAGGCTGCTGCTGTTATAGGAAGACTGTTCTTTTGACGCTCTGATTTGATGCCTTTTCCCCTCCCTTATTTCACTCTTTCCTATTCTCCCCAGACCTGGAGGCATGTTAATTCTTCTGATTATTTCTGTGACTTTTTTTTTTTCTCCTACTTCCCCACTCATACTGTAAACTCGTGTGTTGTATGGAGATGCAGAGCTCTGATTCAGAAGTTGGGAATATCACTTAAAAGCAAGTGATTAAGTAGTAAAGTACTTAAATCACTGTTTCTAATAGACACAAGTACCACTGGTCTCAGTGCCCAGGTGAACTGCTTGTCAGTTAGCTGCTGAACTGTTGGTCATTGCCACTGTGATCTGGATGGCGTAGTTACCTGGAAGAAGTACCTAGGCTGACTGTTCCAAGCTGTGTCATCACTACTCAGGAATCAGAGATCTTGGCCCCTGTGCTATCCTCTACCTTGCTCTATAGTGTAATCCTATACATCCCTTAAAATTTTCTTACCTTGATGTCCTAATGCTCCTCTCCCTTTTCTGAAACTTCTGCTTTTTCTCTGCACCTCCACATCTCTTACCTAACCTAGAGTGACTTTTAATGTCTTGTAGGTGAATGTTTTCCCACTGGTGCTTAGTGATTTTTCTCTGCCACAGTCTTGATGCTTACACTCATCCTCAAGGGTCTTCCTCTGTCCTTGAGCAATCTCCTTCCCTTTTTTCTGGCGGGGAGCTGTTTTAATTCTGTCCCTTACTTGCTGCGCAATATGTCCTCCTTATTCGTGTGCCTTTTTATCATCCCAATGTAATTTATGTCCTTCATTCACTTAAGAGTAAGTTGTATTTTTGCTCTCACACCTGTTTTACCCAGTTTCCATCCTGTAACCTGCTTAGAGGCAATAGCTGCTGCATTTCTTTCCCTTTTCATTCCCAGCAGAGCTTATCACAGTAGTGGATATGTGTGTCCCATGTCTTGAAGTGATCTCTTACTGCCCTTAACTGACTTCCTCACTAGTCTCAGCTGCTCAGGAACCACTTCTCCCTCATATTTGCTTGACTAATGTGATTTCCCTCTTCCTGTCACGCTTGAACTAAAGTGACTTTTCCACCCATTTGCACTACTACTGCTTTTCTTCTTCAGCCCAAAGGCTGCAGTGCATTTTTTTTGCCTTTTTGTCAGCCTCTACAAAAGTTCCTGACCTACCAGGACAGTGATATTGTCACCTTTATTTATTTTTTGCTCACCCTGTCCCCCAACATAGAGTGAGTCTTCTTTCTTCTTTGCAGATATAGTTCTCCTGTCTCAAAGTGAGATTATCTTCCTCTCATTTTGGGGTAAATTTTCCCCCACTTTCTTTCTGAGTTCCATCTACAGCAACATCTTCCTCTTTTGCCTCCAGGCTC